CAGGTTTTGGAAGGCATTTTGTGATCAGTTAGGTATCAAACTTAACCACTCCTCTTCATACCATCCCCAATCCAACGGAGTTACTGAGAGAATGAATCAGTCACTAGAACAGTACCTTCGTTGCTTCATCTCCGATCACCAAGATGATTGGAAGGAGTTACTCCCTTGGGCTGAATTCGCCCACAATAACTGGGTTCACGAATCAACACAACATAGCCCCTTTTTTATAAATTATGGCTTTGACCCTACTACTCTTCCGAGTTCCTTTTCATCCTCCGCAGTGCCAAGTGTTGACTATACTGTAAGGAATATGAAAGAAACTTGGTTAGGGGTCAAGCGTATCCTGACTCATAAGGCCGATGCTCAAAAAAGTAAAGCGGACACCCGGCGCAAGAATGCTCCGAATTTTATAGTGGGAGATAGAGTGTGGTTGAGTACACGCAATATTAAATTACGAGTCCCCTCTATGAAATTTGCTCCGCGATTCATTGGTCCTTTTAGGATCCTCCAACGGATTAATCCAGTCTGTTATCGGCTGGATTTACCAGCTAATATGAGGATACCCAATTCCTTTCATGTTTCTCTTCTGAAACCTTTGATTTGTAATCGCTTTACTCGTAAACCCAGGTCTCCTCGTTCTACGCTCATTGATGGCCAAAACGAATACGAGGTTAAATCTATTTTAGACTCTCGTATCTCTAGAGGTCGGCTCCAGTATCTGTTGGATTGGAAGGGGTACGGTCCCGAGGAAAGGTCATGGGTAGATGCCTCGGACGTGCACGCGCCTCGCCTAGTCCGTTCCTTTGCTAGGCGTCGTTCTCGCGGACCCTGTCCTGCCCGCCCTGGGGGCGGTCCTCGAGGGGGTGTACTGTGACGATACCTTACCTGTGTCCGCCGATCCCGCGCGGCACGGCAGTTTCCCCGGCTGCTTCCGGGGGGCGGCGCAGCCTCTCGGACGCTGCCCGCTCTCGGCAAAATCCGTTTTATGACGCGGCGCATGCGCGCCGACGTCATAATGATTTTGCCGCGAAAATTCAAACGCGGCCACACTCCCGAACCTTTTGGGGGCGTGGCTTTAAAGTGACACACACACATTGGTATAAAAGGGCATCCCTGTCCACCCCTCAGTGCCCTAGTGTGGTTCTTGATTTTTCCCCTAGTGCTCTTATACTGTTTAGCTGTTTTTTCTGGTATTTTGACCCTTGGCTTTCGTTCTGACTATTCTCCTATCTGGCTCCCCGACTTTTGGCTTGGCTTTCTCGTTTATCCCGATTTCCGTACTCCCTTGACCCTCGGCTTTTTCTTGACTATTCTTTGACGTTAAGTCCGGCCACCCTAAGGTCCTGTATACGTCCCTTTCTGGGTTACCATCTGTGTGAAGGGGTCACTATCGTGACAGGTATAAATTATTGTCATATAATAACAATCGAACAATTGTTAATAACCCCTTCAGTCACTTACCTGGGACAGCACCACTGTCCATTGGCGCTGACACAGCTCCGCCCACGCCTCTCCACCGCCAACGTCCGCCGGCAGGGGGAAGACCTAATGCGCACGCGCGGCAATGGCTCACTTAAATTCCAAATTGAGTATTCTAAGATGCATGGAACATGTGGGGCACATAGAGATCGAGAATGAGATCAGTTGTGTGATACATTTTATAACTGATTTATTCATATCATTATAAACCAATTGTAACATGTAGCAATTTATCAGAGTAATACACTATTAGTACAAAAGTATGCCTTCTATAGACTGACGGCATTTGTAACTTTCCAAACAAATGTCTGCACAAGTTTAATAACTAGTTAGATTATTTCTACTTTGTTTCCACTAATAACTTTGTTACAATAAAATATTTGGCTCAAAAACCTTTATAAATTGCTTTTAAGTATGGTGCATAAAGTGTGCATATCTTTGAAAATATAATGCAAAGTGAAGTAAAAGTAGTTTCTAAATTTTAGGACAAAGTGTCTGAATATGAAACACATCTGATTTGATGAGCCTTGAGGAGGACACAAACAAGTCCCAACATGTTAGATCCCCTATTTAATGGCAATGAGTGTGGGCACAGGGGAACAGTGACAGGTCCATTGCAGTCATAGCCCAGTTGCTAATTTTATAACACTGAGCGCAACTAGTTGCTCAGTGTTTAGTAATTATGCCTCCATCTCCGGCATGGTAGGAGGAGACATTTTAAACCTCCCTATAATTAGATGGGGTCATATTAACCCCTTCTGATTTTTCTTATTTTTAACAATTTAATGAGACAGATGGCTAGCAAGTCTTGACCAGCTGCCACATAAGTAAACTCGATTGTCATCAAGGGTTTTTATAACTATTTGCCCAAATTATTACTGACTACTGGCATTCAGATGAATCCTGTTGCATTAGGTCCCAATTTTGCTTAAAATCATTCCTTTGTAAGTCTTTTGGAACATATACTTACTAAAACATTTGGATGCGAAATTCACTGATTTGGAAATAGACACAACATGCATCCTGCCGTACGCAGCAGGTTTGGTAGGGAGGACCACATATTGACTGGATTTTGTTTTAGTACATGTGAGAATTGCCAATCAGTAAGAATTCAATCATGACAGATTTTAATTGTAGCACAATTGCACCCATGTGTCATAGAAAAACGTTTATTCTTGACCTTTTAAATATTTACACATCGGTCCCGTATGGCCAAAATGAAAAAAAAATTCTTCAAATCAATTAATTTCTCAACTGGACTATAATCATGTAAAATGTAAAAAATCCTGGTCATTTCCTGACAATTAAATAACCCTGAATAATTGCTGCTGGACACAGAGCTACAACAATGGCTGTTAGAAGTGTGGTGCATGATTTACAAATATTTTGTAATTAATTTTCAGTTTCAAGCTTAAGAAAATAATTATTAACTGAGTTTTTCTTCAACATATGTTTTTTTCCCCATGCGAAATGTAAATTATACGTAAAAATAAAATAAAATTTTGAAACCTTTTTTTTTTTTTTACTCTTTGTTTCTTTGATTAATGGAATTGACCTTGGCTCTTAGCCAATATATGAGTATGTAAAATTTTAGAAATAAATACGAACAAAAACCGTAATAATTAGTAGTTTTGTTTACACATTTATTAAACAATGATTTATCCCACTGCGGTCAATTAGGTGCCTCGTGGAAAATAGTTCCAAATGCCACCTTTCAATGAATACAAAGTAGCCTTTTAAATATGCATGAAAGAATAACAAGCAGAGCTGTGTATGTGCCCACCGGATATTTAAATCCCTTCCTAGGAGGTCTCGTCCCTTATGGCAAGAGGCAAGGGTTAGAAATTTTGAGTGAATGCTGATACTGCATTACATTTAAGACATCAGTATGGAATAAAAACTTTTCAACAAACTAATTGCCTGGAAGTAATATTCCTTTGAATGGGTCACACACATTTTACAAGGAGCTTTGAAGAATGCAGCCACACTACAACAGAAATGGATTACTTTTAACATTGCAATGATAGTAAAAGATCAAAGGACTAAGACAATAGGACTCCTTTCAATACTTATAAAATCCTTGCTGGATGAAGTAGGCGGTTTGGGAAATGTTCCCAGATTTTACATCAAGCAGTTTCTGTATAAGCCATTGTCATTATTGAACAAATGCTGCAAAGTATTTGTAAATGTATCTTACAAATAGCATGTGGTGTTTACAGTATATGGTAGTTTGCTACTAAAAAACAATCTCATCCAAATTTCATAAATGTTTTTATGGAGAGTAAAAACATGTAATATATCTTATAGACATAATACAATGTAGCACAAACAACACATAATATCACGCTGTGTGATATTGAATTTAATATTGTCAAAAGGTATATCCTGCCTTGCCTGTTTTTATTGCTATCAGACAATAAAACATAGCAGCTACAAACATGAATGTGGAACATGAATCTGATACTAGCAATCTGATTGTTCCATTCAACAATTTTCCTATTTATAAGATATTATTTATATAAATAGTTACTCATTTTAATTTAATGTATAAAAAAAAAAAAAAAAAAAAATGTCTGGGGACTCAGATATTAATCCATTGTAGATTTAGTGCCAATACCACTTTTCTACTCAAATGAGTCGTGTTCAAGCCTTAACCAAAAAGGCTCATTTGAGTAAAAACTTTTTCCATTAAATCTGGATTGTATTATTGTGTGCCTGGACGTGTGTTTCTTTATACTATAAGTTTGAGGTTGTGCCACCTTAGTCTGTGAGGAATCAGGGAAAGATCCTTATAGATGTGTGTAGACCCTGGATACTAGTGGACTACTCATTTCAATTCACTTATATATTTATTGATATATGTCAATGTATGAAAATGTTTTTACTGGAATTTTAGTGGTCATATACATGTGTCCTCTGATTCTCCAAAGGAATGGATTAGAAACCAAGGATTGGCTGAGCCACTCCATGTTCCCTAATTATGTAGAAAAGAGGCCATTTCCTTTAAAAGAGCTCAAAAAGAGAGACATTAAGAGGGACATTTCACTTTTCCTTTATTTATTTGTACCTATTTTGCATTAATAGTGCACACTAAACACCATGAACACTATTATTGATTAGTGGTTGAAATGCAAAAATTATGCAGGGGGTGCGGAGCAAGTAGCCACACTGAGACGATGCACATGACTCGAGCTCCGATCGAAAAACGCTTGGTTAAGCCCAAAAACGCAGGGAAATCTACCCTGAAAGCACTGTTTGAAGCCGCCTGTTCTCCAGAGGGCATGGGGCGATGAAGCAAAAAGCTTAAACCAGACAGACCCCTACCACTGCAGATATCGGAGATCTCCTGCGGAGGCCTCAACACTCCCAAAGGCCCGCAATGGAGTCGCAGATGGAAAGCTTGTATAACATCGTCTAGCGAGGCATCTGTGTCTGAGGAGAGTGACTAGAGTGCACGGGCTAGGAGCAGACTGACCCACTCACCTGCAAAGCCTCCAGTCACGGAGGAAAAGCTGAGGGACATGCTTGGTGAGCTGCACTGCAATATTGCAGCTGACATCGTCAAGTTCCGTGAAGAAATTAGTGGTGTACCAGCCGGACTGCAAAACACAGAACATAACACTGCCGCACAAAAGACCCGACTCGTGGCAGTGGAGCAGCAACTCCTAGCCCTGCAAAAGGCCCAAAGGCAACACCAAGACAGCATGGCAGTGCTTGAAGATAAAAGGCGTTGGAAGAATGTCAAAGTCCTTGCCTGATGCGGTGGAGACCGTTGAGCTACCATGCCTATTCCGCAGAATGTTTAGCACGCTCTTTACGGCCAGACAGGCTAAAGGGATGCCATTGGATAGCTGGTATTGGATCTCCATTCCACAGACAGGTACCACAGAAAGGGGGAAAGATGTAATCATCCGCTTCCAGCTAGGCCGAGATCGCCTGGCCTTCATGGTGGCCATGCGTAATAAATCCCCTTTACACTTTGAGGACTATTCTTTAACCTTCTACCCTGATCTATCCAAGGTCACCATGGACTGAGATGGTCCCTGAGACCCCTGACTAAGGAGCTCTTAACACACAACATACCCTACTGATGGGGCACACCCAAAAGCCTGATTATACTCAGGGATACTGGGCACCTCAAAGTGCACAAAGCAGCAGAGATCCATCCCAGCCATGATGCAGACACTTGAGCTGGACAAGCAAGTACCTGAGCAAGCTGTTCATATCAAACCAATAAGCTCCGTGGTCTGGAATTCCGCTACCATGCGCCCATTCATACCAGCGGCCCAACAAGGAGAAGCAGCATCCACTTCGGTGCCCTGAACTCTTTGCAGTCAATAAGGCCTGTTGCTGTAATGTTTTGTTTATTATTTCTAAACCTCCATGATTACCGTTTCAATTTTAAAGTTTTACTTTTATTACATATGGCATAAGTGATGCACCTCTAAAGATAACTCCCCACGCACTCCTCCAGTTTTCCTCCCCTTCTCCCCCCTTATCATAGGAACTACTAATATTGCTGTCCCATTAGTCTATAAAGGGGGCACAGGCTTCTCTACCCTGCCTTCAGTCCCTTGGACTCTACCCAACTCTTTTGTATTAGAGGCATCTCATGCACCCTGCCCCACATGTACATATAGAATACCTATCTGGCGACCCTTAGGCAGGAGTTGCATACCACTCACCTACTGGTTATACTTTATACTTTCTACTAGTAATAGTAACGCAATATACTAAAAATGTGATATGCTATTGATGCCAACAATTGTTAACCTATGTTGAATGAACAACTTGCACTGGCTGTTGTGGCACTGCAAGCCTATCCGTACCGTTTTTTGCACTACAAAAATAAAGAATTTAAAAAAAAAAATTATACAGGAGCCACCAACACCCTCATCCTATCATTCCCACCAACAATATGATGACAGTAATAGGGTGCACCATGCATTTGCAACAGAATGTTTATGATGCTTATAACGGTTGTAAATGTTTATGGTGCATGAAGTGCATGCATAAAACAAACAAACATATTACAGAGCATAGTAAATAATTAATAAACCCAAACTGGGACTGTCCTTTAAGATATTTTGATCAATTAAATAACTTTTTGCCATTAATTTTCCTTCCTGCTGCAGTTTTTAAGCAATTCAATATATTCTTTTTCAGAGGTGGGGGGTGCTTGTTCACAAAACACTAATTTTTGGATAACAAAACTCAACTGCAAAATTAAGCCTACGATAGCAACTTTCTCAGCTCTTGCCCATCAACGGCAGTTCACTATAGTAAATTGTTATCCAATAGCTCATAAATCGTGCAAAAGAATTAACAATCTTTCTTGCATTTACCTGCTGCAGCACAGAAAGATCAGCAAATGGACTATTTCAGAATTGCAGACCTATTTGCTTTTTTTGAGAATATAGTTTGCTTTGATGGTTTTGCAGTAAAAGCTGGTGCTATGTATTGATCTGAATTTGAATATATTTTTTAATTCATAGAAAGACGCTTCATTGTTACAATGTGCACCCCCTGCTATGTCTCTTCTCTCTCGTATAGATTTTTGCTATAATAGTGTGTACAAAACCAAACATTGCATAAAAGCCTTATAAAGAATATTTGATCTTTACAGCAAAGCCTACACATTTGTTTTGTGTGCATACTACATTAGTGTAACGATTACATTTTAATTAAAACAATGTCATAGTTTAATAATTATAGATATTTTGAAAATCATTTATGTCATATTTGAAATATGTTTTATTTATAAAAAAATATTCTCATAATTTTGGAAAAATTCTATGTGAAAAGCAAAGTAGCCTAGAAACATAATTTATTTTTGCCAGTACCTAATTAAATAAATACTCAGAATACTATAATTTTTTTAAATGAAGTAAAGCAGAATTCTTTCTTCTAGTCTCTCGGCATTTCTACATGTATGTAAGTATATACTTTAATAACAGGCAAAAAAAGTATGTAAATGTAATGTAAATATGTCTAAAAAAGGGCCCTGCATAAATGATATATTTCTAGAAAACATTAAGATTACAGATGGAGATATCCCATTAGTGAAATCAAATATGCCATTTCAAGTTTCTTTCCACGTTCATTTCTTTGCACAAGTTCCCTACCTTAAACATAGCTTTTTAGTATGCACAGGATAATAAGGTTTTTAGTGGTGGGTGAAATAAAAAAAAGGAGGTAGAAGTTATCAATTTTCTTTTTCATGAATTTTGGCTTCAAAGCAATTTGTGTAAATCATGGTCAACATCTTTCACAGCAGACAGGACAGACAGATTGCCTATCATATTAGAAACTGGTGAATCAGTTTAAAGGTTTTTAATACTCCTATGTCTTATATTCAGTATGAATAGTACTGATTTAAATCTGAATTACACAATTAAGGCAATTTTTTTAAATCTGGAGTATAATCTCTAACTCCAGTTGTACAATCACGTCATGGCTATTTTCACATCCGTTTTGCAGCACTCATGGGTTAGCTCCTCCTCTCACAGCAGAAAGGACAGGAAATAAAACTCTGAAATTAGTAAAAATAGATAGATAGATAGATAGATAGATAAACAGACAGACAGATATATTGGCCAGGATTTATGACTAAGTTGCTACTAAAAAATACTGGACATAGTTAGTCCATTTTGAATACCCTGACTTTTCTATTCTTGCAAACGGTATGCAGGATGGGCACAGTTTTCATTCCTGGGATGCCATATAGTCTCAAAGAACAAAACCTAACTGGCAAATTTCAATGTGCAAAAACTAAAATGGGCAAGCCCTATATTTGACCCTGTAACTTTCCAAAACTTCATAAAACCTGTACATGGGGGGTGGGGTGGGGAGGACGGGACTTTTGTACTTGTGAGACATCGCTGAACACAAATATGAGTGTTTTAGAGTGCTAAAACATATAATAACAATGATTTAATCAGTAAAAGGGCAGTTCTTTTGTGACTAAGTATGTTGAATACCCTGGGTTGTCTTCTTTTGCAAATGGTATGTCATGATGGGAATAATTTTCATTCCAGGGCTGCCATACTGTGTCAAAGCAACATCTTGCATACTATATATATATATAGTCCAATTTCAGTGTTTACACACACACACACACACATATATATAATTATATATATAAATATATATAATGTGTGTAAAAACTGAAATAGGACTCTCTTTGTTTGACCCTCTAACTTTCCAAAACACCATGAAATCAGTACACGGGGGGCATCATTGTAGCCATGGGACATCACAGCATGCATCACAGCATGCAGACATGCTTGTTTTATTGCAGTAAAAGTTAACAATATTATAAAATTCACAGTTAAAATGTCATGCAGAAGTTGAAAAATAACATTTCTCAAACTTCTTTACATTTTATTTATATTAAATTGTGCTCCATATATAAATATTTGTTTTGAAATGAAAGCCCTATTTCTCCTTAACAAAGTGATATATAAATAATTAAGAAAGAATATGAAATAAGTAAATTATGATTAAACATACACATAGCTCAAATCCCAGGCTTTGTTTTATTTTTATTTTGGTCATAACGTGTACAATTGACTCCATCTTTGAGGAATTACACTTAAAAATATATGAAAAAATATACAAACCAGTACACTGAGTAGAGTAGAATATATTATAACATAGTTAAATGGAGAAAGGGAGTGTGAAGAATGGAAAGCTTGCTTTAGGTAGTACACTCAAAATGGCGTCAATTGTGAATTGCATACTATGTGGTCTGTATTAGAGTATGTCAGCAGAGAAATTGCACAAATCCCCATTTTCTATATAATTGTGCATATTATATATCACATTTATTTCAATATTATTTATTATTCCAATAAGATATATTGCAGCATTTGTAATTGCACCATGAATCTTACCACACTAAATGAATATGCATATATAGCATGTGTATATGTAGAAATGGATAAGCAATACTTTAACTATATATACCTATATATACTCTGAACAAAAAAAGATGTTTTTGTCCTCAAAGATCTAAGACTTTTTCTATGTACACAAAAGCCCTATTTCTCTCAAATATCGTTCACAAATCTGTCTAAATCTGTTTTAGTGAGCACTTCTCCTTTACCGAGATAATCCATTCACCTCACATGTGTGGCATATCAACATGCTGATGAGCATTTTTTACTCATTGTAAATCTAGATTTTCCTTAGTTTTACTGTAAAGTTGCTAAATATAGCTTAAGTATCTTTTAAGAAATCTTTTCACAAAAAAGTATAGTGGTAAACATTCTTGAATAAAATGCAGGATAAGGGAGGAGCATGAATTCTTATTTTATTCAGATTTTCTTATGGAATGTAATGCCACAGTTCTGCCTTCACATGCGCTGTAAAGAATACAGGTAAGGGCAGTTTAAGTCTGCTCTATATATAGTAGTGGAACATAATTAGGGATTTGGAAATGTAGCAGGTGATATAAAAAAAATTCAAAGATCCCTGAAACGAGTGAATGTAATCCAACCACCTGTATACACTGTATATTTCAAGTAACAAAATGTAGCAGAAGATTTGTTGCATTAAAACCTTAACCTCGGATGGTGGGAGGAACAAATAGTATTCACTGACCACTGGAGTGGAAACACCACACTTATCATCTTAGTGGATGATACTATACAGACCACGCTATCTAGAATTCCACCACTACCAACAGTCTTCTGAAATGGGAAAGTTACCATCCATCCCCACTGAAGAAAGGAATTCCAGTGGGTCAGCATTTACT